CTTTTTAGTATGTAGAATTCTGTCTTTAAATAGTATGTTATATAGAACTACTGTCTGTGTGTGTGTGTTTGTGTTAGGTTGAACCTTTATGAAGTCACTGATAGAGGCAATTTCTTTCATTTTTTATTATTTTATTTTATTTATTTATTTTATTTTGGAGACAGTATCTCAGGATGTTGCCCTTGGTAGAATGCTGTGGCACCCCAGTTCACAGCAACCTCAAACTCTTGGCCTTAAGCAGTTCTCTTGCCTGAGCCTCACAAGTAGCTGGGACTACAGGCACCCGCCGTAGCACCCGGCTATTTTTTGGTTGTAGTTGTCATTGTTGTTTGGCAGGCCTGGGCTGGATTCGAACCCACTAGCTCCCGTCTCTGTCGCTGGTGCCCTGGCCACTGAGCTACGGACGCCGACCTGGCAATTTCTTACAATTTAATAAGGGCCAACTATATGCCAGGCACTAATTCTAAGCATTTTTATTGAACTATTTAATGTTCAATTCTTTACGATTCTGCCATTGTAGTTATTTTGTATGCGACTAAATTGAGACACAGTGAGGTTAAGTAATTTACCAGAAGTCAGGTGGTCAGGCTGCAGAGCCTGCCCTCTTAACCTAAGCTGTAAGTGAGAACCAAGCTGTGCACACTGGCAGACTGCATTCTGCTGCCACTTGGTACTGCTTCAGAATATTTAGGGCTCTGTAAATACAGTTTGCAAACCTTGCCCTAATTCCAGGCCCTTTATTTTGCAGAGGAATATGTGTCCCAAGAGAAATAACTTGCCCAGTCACACAAGTCAATAAGGCAATTGAGGCTGTCGTCATACTATAAAATTTCATAGCACATGCCAGGTGCAATGGCTCACGCGTATAATCCTAGCACTCTGGGAGCCTAAGGTGGGTGGACAGCTTGAGTTTAAGAGTTTGAGACCATATGATTGCTGTTCTAACTTTGTGAGTTCCTGCCTAATAAAGCTTGCCTACATTCCAAAAAAATTTTTTTTGACCGGGCATGGTGGCTCTTGCCTGTGGCTCATATCCCAGTGCTGTGGGAGGCCGAGGTGGGTGGATCACCTGAACTCCGCTGAGTTCGAGACCAGCAGAAGACCAGCATGAGCCAGAGTGAGCCTGAGTGAGACCTTGTCTCTACAAAAAAAAAAGCCAGACGCTGTGGCAGGCATCTGAATCCCAGCTACTTGGGAGGCAAAGGACAAGAGAATCGCTAAAGGAAGAAAGAAAAAATAAATAAATAAAATTTGAGTCCAGCCTGAACAAAAGAGTGAGATCCCGTCTCTAGAAAAACTAGCTATGTGTGGGCCCGGCACCCATAGCTCAGTTAGTAGGGCACTGGCCACATATACCAAAGCTGGCGGGCCTGCTAAACAACAATCACAACTGCAGCGAAAAAATAGCCAGGCTTCGTAACAGGCGCCTGTAGTTCCAGCTACTTGGGAGGCTGAGGCAAGAGGATTGCTTGAGCCCAGGGGTATTGAGGTTGATGTGAGCTGTGGCCACGGCACTCTACACTAGAACAACAGAGAATCTGTCTCAAAAAAAAATTCATAGCATCTCCAAAGAGTTTTGAGTGCTGCCATGATTCATGTCAGGCCTTCTTAGTCTTGGAGAGGCAACTAATCCCTCATTTTCACAAGGATCTTAAATATAGATTACATTGCTTACTTGAGCTCACCTAGCAAAAGTTATTGCTGGCATTGGCTCCCTCAGGACACTGAGCTCCATGAATGGGAGTCCTCAACGTAATAACACAGCACATGTTTTCTAGAAAGTGATAAAATACTATAGTTGGCCTTGTGTGCTTTTGGAGATTTTGTAGTCGTTGATTATTAGCCCCCAAAGAAAGAAATTAGCTGAATTAGAAATAAGAAATTAGAAATAGGCTCGGCGCCTATAGCTCAACCGGCTAAGGCGCCAGCCAC